AATTGCCATCTAAGATTCAACCTAAAATTACAAGTAAGCAGGTGTGACACTTTAAATTTCATCTTACCATGTTCAATTTAGATATTTATTTACGTAGCAAGTTGCAATGTAAGTAATATACTGCGATAATAAATTATTAGTTCGTAGTACACCTAGAAATAGGATTTAAAAAATTATATGCAATTATTTGCATATAAGTACGATAGTTCACATGTTTTAGTTTATTTCCATTAAACACAAACCCAAGTATACCATACCATATACTATACTTAAACTTGAGTAATCATGTTGCATAGGTTTTAGTAGCAGTAGAGCTCCTTGTAAAAGAGTTCGTCCACGTTAGCTATTTCTACCGCCAAGGAGTAATGTCAGCATTACTGTGTTCCGGTTTTGAAGGGTAAGGGTGCTGGTGAAATTACAGGCACATGGGACTTGTCCACTTATGTCTATGGGTGACGGGCGCAGTGACAGTGCCCCTCAAATCTTTGAGAATTAAAACTCTGAGTGGCACAGCAACGGTTATGGACAGACGTCTAGCGTACCATAAGGCTCATGACTTGTTCGTCCCGTCACTTGATATTATAAAAAAAAGTAATCAAATTACACTTGAAATCGTCACATTGATAAAACTCTACTACTCATTAGTAAGGCAAATTCCCCTAAGAAGAAAGAGTAAGAAAGTCTAGGGGTTGCACTTTGTAAATAAACATTTGTACACATTATCATTTATTGTAAATTTATTTCAAATATCGAAACAACCTGAAATAGGTAATCGTATCATTACCATGGATTTTTGTTGTCCATGCTTGATCTGCGCACTCGCAGCACTCAGTATTATTATATAGCTTCTGCGAGTGCGCAGATCTTTATTAAACCTTTTGTGTAAAGTTATTGTTTCACGATAGTTTTAAACCTCGTAAATGGCAAATTTTGAATATCAACGAGAATCTTATTATAGGCCTATACACTGCCTCTTAAATCAATTTGTAACTTTGTCAAAATGATTGCCAAGAACAGCCAGTTTATTTTTATTCTCGTATTAATGTTACGTCTACCACTCTTTTTCATAAAAAGAACTATTCTTAGTATAAATTACATTTTCATAAATGTAAAAAAGTTAATGTCAATTTCCTTAAGTTACTCTTTCAAAGACACTCTGGGGCCCAGATTGTGAATTGAACTAACCACGCGTCTTTGTAGGACAAAGATTGTATTAATATCGGCAACATTACAAGCAAAACAAAATGTCGTATGTCATTAAACTGTCAAAGTAACCAAAGTAAACCAAAAGCGATTTCTACGTCTGAAACTTTTGTACTTTTTAACCGCGTATATTGCAAGACCTGTGCCGTTTCGACAACTTAGTTATTTTCTGGACACCATTGCAAATTAGCATCTAAAGTTTACACCTAAAAATAGAAATGTGTTTACAAGATTCATTTTTTTGTTTCTAACAATGATGTTTGGTCCCAAACTGTCTAACATTGAGCAATGTAAATTTCACGTAATTGTTATCTATTTTGAATTTCTCCGTTCACGTTCGTTATTCATCTATAACAACAGACTAAACGTCTACAACAAAGGTTAGTTGAAAGAAATCCCTTTAAGGTGAAGGTTTGTCACTAACAATTTTATTTATTAAAATTGTAATTTGTTGCAATGAAATGTTTACATACAAAAATAATGGATTCATAGTACCTGCTATTTATATTTCAAGCTTAATAAAATTTTCGATATTTCGATAAAAAATATTTCACAACACTTGTAAGCGGGCGCTGTAAGCTTCACCATGTACAAATAGAGAAAAGTGGTTGCGGCAATAATGGGCTGTACATAAACGCCGGCAAGCCGTTAAATTTAGATTAAAAACGACCATATGTTTGCTGTACTCTGCTCCTAGATTGAATATGTACTCAGTACCTAACACACAGGTACAACAGTGAAACT